GGATCTGCAATTATACACGTATTTTATATCAACTTCTTTTTATGTAGATTCAGAGCTGAGTATATAATTAAATAAAAATCGAAAAAAAAGACATGTCAACGTATATTTAGAGAGATTTAAATCTATTAAATGTATTAAATTTATTAATTAGATTTTTATATTTATTGTGTTAAGAAGACTGACGTTTTCAATTTAAAAAATCTTAGACTAATTGCATGAACGTCGCTTAGCGGTAAACTTGATTAACTAAATTCTCTTTCACTATCTGCGTCAAGGATGGGATGATAATCTGGGAGGGGCAACGAATCGCTAACCCAGAATTAATTAACTCAGGCCGTCGATTCACCTCAATCTTCATATATATAGCCTGATAGAGAGGAAGGTAAGAGGAGGAAAAAGTCACAGACTTATTTTCTCGGCTTTTGAACCTCGAGATATTTGACTAAAAGCACATTTATAACATTTCATTACTATTGATTCGAAATAACGAACTCTCATAATTTTAAACGAGGAGTGCCACAAACGATAAGCAACGGCCAACGCGTATAAAAGAGAGAACGTAATCCACGGCGGATAACAGGATAAGCGTTGCGCATAGACTAAAGTTCGGGCGCTAATGAGCACCGCGATTAAGCAAATTTATTCCGTTTGTGTCCGGCGGAGGGATATCGTTTTTGCCTAAAAGCGCCGACCATATGAAACCGCGGTGGCGAGCGGAATCGAAATATGGTATCTATTAATCATGTCCAAATTAATAATAATATGGACATTGTCACATCATTAGGTGCCGCACATTGTATATATGTATATTTAATAATAAACCGCGTTGTGCACTCTCCCTTCACAGTGTCAACCACGCTTGTATGCATTCGGTGTGCGGTAACGTATTGACGCGAATATTATTCAGGTAATCGCGACGCCATACATGCGAACGATTGAAAAGATACGATTATGCGCGCGACACGACCGGGGTTCAATTTTTGGCTTGAATTTCCGCTCCTGGTCGAGGTGATAAATTTTTATTCACATCCAATCATCGTTCCGCGCGCTCCTTCCTTCGATAGTTCTCCATCTTCGTCCAGACATAACATTATCATCGAGGTATATTCCGACTTTTTCTTTTCACCGGCGCAACGAGAATCGACCGTCGATTATCCGGAGCCGCGGGTGAATTTCTATTTAATCATCGGGCGTCATGGGAAACGGACGTCATTGGCGAAGCGGCGGCGGCGAACAGGAGCGCGCGGAGGATAACGGAAGTTACAGAAGGGGATAGTGCGATAATAAATATGCCCAGCGCCGGCAGCCATAAATCCCGCGTAATTGAATTTTCAACATCCATAACTGGCCGTCGCTCGGCGCGACCTCAGGAAATAGGACGGTACGGCGACGTATCTTGAACGGAGAGTTAGATGATTCCATTCCGCTTTCGAAAGGCGCGGCCCCTTTCGACTCGCCCTTCTTCTCTCTTTCTCCCCGCTGCGCGATAGACAGAGCGCGCCAATCGATTCCGCGACGTTCATAGTCGGGGACTATTTTTAATTCGCCGGAGCCGCGGTGCAACGTGGCGCGCCCATTTCTTTCTTCCCCGCTCTTGGCTCTCTTTCTTCCTCTTTCTTCCTCTTCCTTCCTCTTTCTTCGACTCCCGGCAAGCGAAGAGTTCCTTTGACGCGAACATCTAATCAAGGATTTCCTCAACTCTTGAGTCTTCGTCCTGCCGAATCCTCTCTATAGCTATAGCCCTCTTCCTCGCCGCTGTATTTCCTTGCTCTCTCTCTCTCTCTCTCTCCCTCGCCCTCGGCTCCAGCTTTTTCCTACTTCCGTTCTCATCCTTCTCTGCTTCTCGCTCGCTGTCGCTGTCTTCGCGCTGTTGTCGTCGCTGTCGCCGCTGTCGTCGTTGTCGTCGTTGCACAGACTTGGCGCGGAAAACTTTGATTGTACGTAAGTCGAAAGCGCCGGAGACGAAAAAGGAATGTCCGGAATATCGTGGGGTAGTTGCCGAGAGCCGCCTTGAGTACGATGGGATTTCTGCTGATTGGAAATCCTGTCATTCAATGGCCCGCATATATATTTCCCGGTAGACTGTACCGGGCCGGTGCGGCGATGGGTGGCGCGTTCCCGCAAAAACTGCGGTAGCGGGAGCGACGGAAAGAGACGGATCGAGCAAAAGTCGCGTTTGTCCGCCGAGGTCGGGAACTTCTCTCTTAACTGCGTTAGCTGATGCTCGAGTTTTCCCCGCGGCGAAAAGCCTTTCATTGCACTCTCCACGCAAACAAATCCGCTCCGATATAGCATTTTGTAACTATCAGTGCGACGCTATTTATTTCGCTGAGGTAATCGTCGCTTCGAGAATTCTAGGCCTCGAGAATCTCCGAGAAATCGACTGTGACCTCTCGGGTGACCGGCACCGTTAGCGCACTATCGTCCACCGCGATAACAGCCAGAGATCCTGGGGGCGCCGTGACGTCAGAGATTATGATAAGCCCTCCCGGCGGCGAGAAACAAATGACGTACTAACTGCATATTAACCGAACCACTCTGGCTGTCCGTGAAACCCGCCTACTCTGTCCAGTGGCCCGCACTGCGCGCAGTTCACGATTCACTGACCGGACTAAACTTTCCCAACCGGACGACAAACGGCGTCGGGCGCGTAATCACCTTGTCTTCCCTGATGGATTAGGATACTCGGCGATGGAAACAATTATCGACGGCCCGCCGATTGACCGGGATTAGCCGAAATTGTCCCGCGTCTAATTACCATCTTTTTGCGCCGTCGGTCTGCGCCGCCGGAATCACGCTAATTAATTCGCCGTCGTGCGCCGCGCGAAAGTCTCCGACGAAAAATCTCGCGGTGCGCGCGCGAGCGGGAGATGACGTACTGCGGAGAAAGTCAGTGTTATCTCATCTTAATCTTCCCTGGGAGCTTCGCCCGCAGTCAAAGTCCTGAGAACAAGTACGCCGCCGGTGCACTCCGGCGAATAAAAATATTACTCCGGCGCGATGTTCTTCCCGAAAGAGCGCGATTCTTTCTAGGCTTCGTCCGTCAGATTTCAAAGTTCCTCGCTGCGCTTCGGTAGTTGTACATATTTCACGAGACCGAGTCGCCCCGCGTATATACGTATTCATGGAGCGATGTTTCTTGCTCGCAAGAAAGTTGGACAGTAAGTTAGCACGCTGTCGCGCGTTATTCATTACTCCTGTTCCTTCTGCGATCGTCTCCCGGACAATCGCGGGATGAAAAAAAATATGCCGAAGATCAACCGAGCTCGTTCGCCGGTGTTATGATATTCGCCCAAGTTTGATGCTCAGACGACCGAGTTCTCGCCAGTTATTGAAATTACTTTCAACGAGTAATATTGACAGTTTCTATCCCGCGAGTAAACTTCAGTTGACTGATATGATAATCAATATCGAAAGGTAATTGATGGTTTTCAGTGAAGTGTGACTTTTCGTAAAATACATATTATCATGGTGATACGTTATGCTGTAAATACGGTTGCAGCGCTAATTAGCGCGGCGATTGATCAATATTACTGAGCAGAAGCGAAATACGCCAAAATACGCCGTAGGCGATACAAAGGATATCAAATGTGACAAGATAACAATACGGCATAATGCTGCAAAATATATATATATATATATCCCGGGAATATGTTTCATGACACACGCGTGAAACACTATTGAGATTTTCCGTGGACGCTTCTCGTACAGCGTATCGTTCTTCCTCGCCAGAGGACGAAAACCTGGAGAGCGAGTTAAAGGGAGACCAAGATAACGAGAGGGTAAGGAGATCCTCTCAATTTTCCGTAACAAGCGCGTCCAAAGGCTTTCTCGTAAAAAAGGATACGTCTCGTCAGTTAGCGCATAAAGGGAAGCGCGCGTTATCCGCGAATCTTTATACCCTTGGCGCGTGTAAAACCTTCGTCTAGGAAGGTGTAGTCGAATTACCGCATACGAAGAGATCACGGTTTCAACGTATCAGCCATCGGGCTCGCCATCGAGATCTAATTCGATTGCTTCGGTCCGGGCGAAAGTTGGACGATCAACGGCTATGAGAAGAACCCGGTTGCCTCTCACGAGCGAGCAATTTCTCAGCCGGAGTTGATTTGTAGGACAATATTTTTCCTAGGCTAAAAGATAACACATAAACGCGAACGTGCCGTGGTATTCTTCGTAGCTGTCTTCGAGCTGCGCTCGCCTTTTTTCCTCCGATCTCCCTTCTCCCGTCCACGCTCTCCTCGCCGGCTTTCTTTTCTATCTGGGCTTCCTCCGCGCTTCGGGTGGCACGTGACCTCGTTCCGAGATAAGACAATGTTTCTCCACTCTCGGAGGACAGAAGAAGATCTCTATCCACTACATTCACCCAGTACATAAGTAGCTCTTCGCCACGGATGGATAGAAAATCTATAGTATCTCAAAACCCACTCAAAAACAATCCTCGATTTGGTGTTGAAAACGTGTCGTCAAAGAGGTATGTGAATAACTGTTCTATTTGCAAGCTTTCTAAAAATAACATTTTTTGAATTATTTTTTTGGATTAAAATAATTTATTTACGTTGAAATTTATTCCGATACAAATCGTGATATCGGAAAAAATGGAAAAAAGTTAATAATAGAGATTTTCACATCAATAATACGAATTAATAATGTTTAAAAGTCGATATAATATGATTTGAGCTTATAAAAACTGCAATTTTAATTTCAATAAATGTTGGTTATTATTCTCGATTGTAGACATTTCCTATTATTGTGTTAATGAAAAAAGCGACCAACAAGCAATTGTGCGAAATGCTTTAAAATGTTCAATCCAAAATCAATAAAAAATAGGCCGGCCAACGGGGATGGCAGCACATGGCGAGTCTCTGTACTCTGCCATCTCTGCTGAATTCCTGAAAGCGCGGTACACCGGCAAATGATTCAGGAGAAATTTGAATTGCATCGGAGCTACATTTATTATTGTGAATATGCATAGAGAAGGATTAAAAAGATAAAAATGCTGCTTTCATATTTGCTCTGAATATATTTATGTAACAGCTCGATGCATGTAAATTAAACAACACGTAATCCTCTTTTATTCGCGAGTCTTTTTCCAGAATAAAGTTTTTATCCAACTACACATTTACGAGGAAGATAAAGTTTAAAAGGAAAAATATATATCTAGGCGACCAATCAAAGTTGCATTCGTATTGAGAATGCGACACGATCGATTAACATCCTCTCGACCGCCGATCAAGTGAGATTACGATTCTTCCGCGGTAATTTTCTGGGTCTGCGCCGACACGGTGTCCTCGGCCACTGGTTCCCGGATTCCCATCCACTTGCAGCGCTTCTTCAGTTCTTGTCGATATCTATCGATATAAACAGTGCGAAATCACCGAATTAAAGGTGATCAATAAAACACACAATTTCCCACAGTAAAGTAGATCGAATAGCTGATAGTGATAGCTGCTATTATTTAGAAATTTATATTTCTGCGGACATCTTTCCGAAAGACTATATTTGTCTATTTCAAAATAAAATTATTTATTATCAAAATTAATTAATAGAACGCGCGAGAAATGTCAGAAATCGAGAATAGCAGAGTGTCATACAAATAGATATAAATACGTTACCTAGGATGGTTAATTGCGTATATCCATGGATCGATGCACGATACTATTTTAGCGAATATGGCTGGCAACATTGTCGACAGTGGAGTCAACGTTTCGCTGGAAAAAAATATCATAAAAAACAAGAGACTTTTTGAATTGAAAAATATTTTGTGATACTGATTGCGCTACCGATTTCCATAAGCCCCCGTTAAAGCAACGACCGCGTACGGCGTCCACGCGAGCACGAAGAGGAAGAAGATCGTAAAGGCGGCTTTCGCGATTCTCATCTCGACGCTCCTCTCTTTGTCCTGATTCGATACGAGCGACTTGACGTTCATCTTCTTGGCCTATGCATGCGCGATACGGCAGTTATGAAAATAGAATTCTCCGCGAGATTGCATGTTTCATGGCGACGTCAAAAAAATGATATTGATCTGTCGCGCGGGTTACAAAATTTCTGCTCACCTGGTCGCGGAGCATTTTCTCGTGAATGCGAATAGATTTCAGTAACTGCGAGTAGAAATAAATAATCAGCAGCATGGGAAGAACGTACGCCCAAAAGAATATTGTTATCACGAAAGTCCTCGTGTCCTCGTCATCCGTGAGATAGTCAAAACTACACGTTGTGAGAAAGCCCTCTGAAAATTGTACAGTTTAACACTGAATATTTTTCCCGAAAAACTCTTCACTTTTTATTTTCAAATAACATTTCACTAGGCAATAGAATTAGAATTTAATATTAAAGTTAGTTACATGGAGTAAAAGTATTAAAATTAAATATCTAATTATTCGCTTCGACTTATCGTTTGACAAGAGACTCGGAATGTACTTGCTTACCCGCCACATATCGACCCCACAATCCCGTCATTGGCAATATCGAGAAGGGTAGTGCCCAGAGCCACGTAAATAGCGCTATCACCGCTGCTTGCTTTCCATTCAGTCTACCGTCAATCGGACAGCTAATTGTCCTGTAATATTAAATACGACGTACAGTACAATAGCCGCGACCCCATCATTGTTATCGGCTACAAATTACCTAAATATAAATCACGGGCAACGTTTATTCGATCATAAAATCTTTCGCCCTATTTTCTCGGTCCATTATCGATATCATTAATGCAATCGTTCACGACAATGCATAGGTCGTTAAATTTTAACGAGCGCGTAACCGTCTCCGTGATTGTCCGGTAATAAACGATACAAACTACTCGGTAATAAGCAATAAAAATTGTTGAAACATGATCGCGCCCGCCGACCTGTATCGATCGAAAGCGATGGCCGCGTTGGTGATCGCTTGTCCCATCCCGGAAATAGCGCCGAGCAAAGCGTACACATCACATCCGCTTTCCCAACCAATAGTACGCTCCAAGAAGCTGTTTATAATCAACATAGGCATCTCCGTTGCCATCAGTAGATCGAACACGGCCAAGTTCAAAATGAAAATGTTCGACGGTGTCCTTAGTGATTTTGATCTAAAAATTAATACATCAAAATATTCAAATTTGGCATTAAATTAAGAATTTTTTTTTGTAATAAATATAACTTGAAACGCGATATTATTTTCCATTATACGATAAGAACGTCGCAAGCTGTACTGAAATTCTGCCGCCGGTATAGAGATGGCGGGAGCATCACCGTATTTTTAACCTTCCGAGTATTCTTATAATTTAAATTTAACATAATGATAAATTTTTAAAAGCATAAAACTTGCAAGTACTTTTCTTTTTCTGTGCTAATCACAAATGAAAAATTACATGCACAATCATTATAGAAATATAAGCAACCTAGTGAAATCGAGTAGATTAATTGACAATAGATAAACTTTAAAATACGTGCTTTTGAAATGCATTGATTATTTTGCATAGGTTTCTTTATATTACATTACTTGCAATTTTTTAATGAGGTTTAATTTTCGGCACGTACAATTAGACTTTTCTTAATTTGCGACATACATACATCATCAGGCTGTCTTATGGAATGAATTTTCTTAAGCGACACGAACTTACGTGCTGAAAATCCAAATGACGATGCCATTCCCAACGAGGGAGAACATCAGGAGCAAGAGGTAAATAAGCGCAAGAGCGACGTGCCATAGCCTTCCGGGTGCGAGAAATGCGCGCCAATGCGGATGCACGAGGTCGGCATGTTCGGCGGGGAAATTCCATCCCAGAAACCGTTCTTGTAATGGCTGTATGTCTCTGTTATTCAAAAATACACGGATTAATCAATTCTTGATTATCATGTTATTGAAATTTCCGAAATTCTCCGAATCAGAACGAATAAAGCGCTTTTAGAACACAAATTGAATAACGAAACTTTATTCGGCGGATTTGATTCTCGTAAAATTTTAACCCGAGGTTTAATTTCTCAGATAGTTAATATTGAACATTAAGATAGTCTCTCGGTGAGAAAAAATCGACTTTGAATTTAGCCAAAATTCATCATCAAAATTAATGTTGAATATTGCAGGACACGTAGAGGCGAGCTTTAAAAAAACGTGATTATTTATGCAAGACTCGTTGGTGAGCAAAATAATTGTTTCCTCCGATGTTTGATCAAAACCGCGATAGAGCGAAATCCTGAATCTCGCCATCTGAAGAGATTAAACGGGCGGTCAGAAATTTCCATAAGACCTATGAGGGTAATTTCTGTCGCTTCCTTCGTGACCGACATTATTACTCCGTCACGACATCACAAATGTAAAGCAGGTTGTAGGACAAATAGCTTTCGCGTCGACGATAAGAATTGCGACTTTCCCGAATAAGACGACCCGCGCGAATTCGCTATATCGATCGCGCCGACGACGCAACACGGACGTGATCCATTTACGCGCGGCAAATTTGCTCGTTCCGACGATAAAATCGCCGCCGATACGATCGAAGAGGAATTTTGACGTATCGAGCACGAGCGAGCCCGAACAATATACATTATCGCGTAACCGGGACTTATATCGGGCGAATAATATTGCGGAATCTCATTCGCCGTGTGCAGCCGACGTTATACATTATTACTACACCAGCATTGTTATCTGCGTTGTTGTATCGTCGCGCTGCTGGCGGCTATTCGGGGAAAAAAAAAAGAAGGATTCTCATTCATCGCGCGGAAAATGATGCGCTTTCACGTTCGGCCAACATTAATACTGATGAAAACCAAGCGAAACATCGGTCGGTCCGCGTACACCGTCGGTGGATTAAATCCGGCCGCGCGCTAATTGGAATGTCGAGTGATTATTAGTCTTGTCGGCCTATCGAGAGATCAAAATAGCGATGTAACGTCATAATACGCATACGATATAATACGTTTGTCTATCCTTTCCATCACTTCACCGTCATTTCGCGATCTTATCCGCATCTGAAGAAAATCCGAATTAAATGAACCTCGTTTGAGTGAGACGCGTCTATGTTGGGCGAGCATAGTGTACACGCGGCAACTTTCGTGCGTCTCCCTCGCTCCGACTCCCGTTCCATTCTTCCTCCCGTGATGCGAGTATTACCCTACCGGTACCAGCGGCGCTTCACACAGCCGCCGCACAATGTCGGATGATTATGAGGGGAACGGTACGGAAACATGGTACGGCGCCGCGCACCTACCCAACTCTGCTGGCGAAAGCCAACGGCCCGGCCACGATACCACTACCGTTGTGCATCAACATCCTTCGACGTGAGTCGAGTCGCAAGCTGACAAGCAGAGCTACCACGGTCGATGCACCGTCCGATGCGCTGCAGCTAGCGCACGTCGAAGTCGGTGTGAGGCTCAACTCGCGACAACGCGGGTTCGAATGCGAACAGACGCGGAACGGATACGTCGGACGACGTCGATTTTTCTCACTTCCCCTTGCCGGTCTGTGACTGACTGTCGTTTCTCTGAACACGGACGACGACAACGACGACGACGACGACGACGACGTAGATGACGATGTAGTAGTCCACGGACGAGCTCTGCAACGTTAAAGCCGCGCGTAATAGCCGCGGGAGGTTCCTAGATTGAAGTGAGACGCGGCGCGAAAGGGTGGGCGAACGTTCCGCAACTCACTTGTCCGGCCGCGCCGTTATCGCTGCCTTTTATACGTCCGCGACATTTCGGAAGGAGGATGGCGTGCCAGTTGAGAGCTTAATTCGATTTGCGATTTACCGAATGCGAGAAACCTTTCGCACGGGGTCCTAAGCTCACCCGTCACGCGAGCGATCCTCGCCGCGCGATCTTTTCTCTCCTCTTTCTCTCTCCGCGAATCGTCGCGTCCTCACTCCTCGTGTAATCTCCGTTCAAGGTGGTCGCGATTATTCCACTCGTCATTTTTCGCAACGTCAGCATTATTTGTGGGCAACATTTAGACGTAATAAATTTACCGGCGAAAACTAGCTAGGGTAATACATCGCCGCGATCCCTCTCTCGCTGTAGTTAGGAGACGCTAGGTAAATTAATTTCCGTGCCGGAGAGACCTCCCGCGAAGCTAAGTCGGCTCATTGCGTATTTATCCTCTCACTATAGGCAATATAACGCCGGCTGCAAATATCCATTTCCGACAGTGCGGAACGTGTTAAATGGCGAACGCAAGTTGCCGCAACGGGGAAAGCTGGAGAAAGATTGGCGCGAGCCGAATTGAAGAAAAAATCGATTTTCGATATAATAAAACGCAATTTACAGGAGCGCGGTCGCTCGACCCGGGTTAATTAAATTTTCAATGTAGATCTTAATCGGTGTTTTATTTCGCCTTATCGCGACACAGCCGTTACCGATGACCGCGTCCGCAAAACGCAACGCGATGCGAGGAATAGGAAACGAGCGGACACGCTCCCCGCTGATACCGCGCAGCCCGCAGTCGGCCGCAGAGCTTTTTCAGCCCCTCCCCCCCGCGGTTACTGTGCCAGAGCGATAGATAGCGCACGGGGAAATTCATCTCGAGGAGTGCACCCGGTATACGGCCGTGCGAGCGACGGCCGCCGCATTTCCACCGCCGTCCTCGCTCGCCCGTTCGCGACCGCAGCCTTCACGCATCCACTGGATTAAATCATAAAATTGTCCCGGAACGGTTGCAAAATTCCGCTGATTTACGAGCGGCGCCGCGGCTCGTGTACTCTCCACCTCGCGCAGGTGCTCGTATGCCAACGTTATCCATCTATCCGCCGGCGTTCGTCGGCGACTCCGGCTATTTCGCAAGATGAACCCGTCGCTTTTTATCGGCGATCTCGATAAAGATGATTCGTGCGGAGAGAGTGCCTGTCATCGGGTGGAACACACGGGGTAACAGGCGGGAGAGTAGAACGGAAGTAGAAGTGGCTGAAGACGGTAAAATAAAATAATAATGATAATAAATTGCATTTCACGTCCCAGTTGCATTAATCTGCTTTTACGAGAAGTCTTTGCTGTCAAATTAGTTATTTTTCTCCACTTATTTAATTGTCGATAATATGAGTTCAGCTAGAATTAGTTAGGAGTTAAAAAAAGAATGAAATGAGAATGCATCGAGTCTCGTTGAGGAATCGAGCGGAATCAAGAGAAAATTTGAATCGTTCCGCAACGTGAGGAGAGAGCGAGCGGTGCTTTTTCATGATTCACCGGCTATATTTACGAGCTGCGTTTGTCCCGTGTAATTCGCGTGACTTATAAAGCGTCGCTGCCATTGTCTGTGATGAAAATCCAGCGGAAAAATTGAATGACAAACAATGGGTCTAGCCCGGCCAGATTATGGTAACAATGTGAGCGCGTTGAGCATGGCGCAACGATGACGACGCTTGCATTTCGCGCTTCTATTTCGCCTTTCGCGGAGGTCGCGCGCATTCCTCGCACTTTCACAGTTCACTTTCGCGGTTTGTCATTTCTCGATTGCAAAACGTCCGTTGCCGGTATATATCGATCCGCGTAGGACAATAGGACATCGTAATTAAAATAAGATCGTATCGAATTGCTCCGCGAAGCCGCAGATAGCATCGATTTTAAATATTATTTACCGACTTGATAAAGCATTAACCACACCCGTCGCTGTATCTTCTGGTTACATCTACCATTTGCGCTCGCTACGGTCGACGCCTTCCTTTTTTTCGTATGCTCACCCGGCCAATATCCGATTGCTGGCCGATACAAATAGAGATCGATCATGGCTCTGGTTACGAGGCAACGACATGTGCCAATAGAACCATTTGACTGGACAAAACTGTAAGCCCATCTTTTTAGGTAGCGGCTTATATATAGTACGGTGTCGTATTTTCCATTCCGGCGATTTGATACGCCACGCCGACAGCGTTCGGCCTATTGAACGCGATGTGATTTCCCCGAACGCGACGGCAGAGTGAAAGAATAAAAATTAATTATTATTATTTTCCACCTGGCTTCCATGTTTTCATGAATTTGGATAAGTTGAAGACGAGTATAAACCAGTCAATATCTATATCTATATATATGTTTATTGCGATTAGAAGTATCGAAAGATTCTTCATCAGAAGTGTTTCGAGCTGCCTCGCCTTCAAAAGCTCAATCGCCCTGTTCCGCGTATTGGTCGGTCTTCTTTTCTTTGCCGTCTCTTCTTTTTCTCTGGAGGGCTCGGTGAAATCTACGAGATCTCTCGTTCCGCGATTTCGAGCATGTTATATATAGTTCCGAGAATTATCGCTCTGAAATCAGGGCCAATTAGATGCTGCTATTTTTTAGAACCCGACGATAGGGATCAAATTTTTTCGCTCGGTTGCAATCTATCATCTCGATCCGACAACAACTTTCCCGAAGCAAACTTTTACTAATCACAACAGATATATCCTTGATTCGCGACAAATGATAATTTCTCATACATATATACTTGTACGCTTACAGCGGAAATAATACAAATGTATATTTGTTATTATTACAATATTCTACGCGGCCGTAAAATGACATGAGGCATAGCTTCTGAATAACTGACAGAAGCGGGTTTTAAGAGCCGCGTTAATAACAGACGCCGGTAAAGTGCCTCCACTTCGTTACGCCGTGTGTGTTTATCGTGACCCAAGGCGACAGGACTTGTCACATATTCTTCCATGCAGCACACACACGAGACCTTAAACTGCTGCCTAGTTCGCGCGGATCTAGGTCGCTTCCGGCATAGAAGCCGGATAGGAATAGGGTATTGATCGGAGTCGTAAAATACGCGAAACTGAAGTATTAATGGGCAGACTCGCGGGATAAACTAGACGCCCGCTTACCTCCGACCTTTCATTCCGGCGCCCGGCATCATCGTTGCCGCGCGCGCCAGCGCGCATTGATTCTTACACGGCCGACTCGTATATACGATCTTTTACTCGACGGCACTCACGTAGTCGAGCCGCGGAGGGGACGGACAAAGGGATGTAGATTGAAGGAGACGCGGATTAACGAGGATTAACGCTAATTGTGCGGTCGGCGACGACGACGACTCCTCCGTTCTTGCCGTTCTCGCGATTCTCACTGGAAACGAGCGGGCACGAGTGAAGATAACCCCCGCGGTGGAATCCTCATCTCCACCCTGCGATCGTTCGATCAGCGGCAGCCACTCGACGGGAGATTCTCGACGCGGCGAGACTGGAGGTTGACACTTTTTCCCGAGTCAAGAGCCGTCACTATTATTCAAATTGTCTCATCAAAGTCAGTCACGATGCGAGAGCTCTCGCGTCGTTACGCGTGATCAATTCAGCGCCGCCTTTAATCAAAGCTCGTTCTTACGACGCGGGGGATTATGAGGGCGCGATCAATCGACAGCCGTCTCTCGCGCGCGCCACCGATCGGTCTCCGCGAGATATTTAAAGCGACTCGCACAAAGAATACTCGCACGAATGGCTAATTTCCTTGATTTAACAAACGCGAGGGCGCGGTAAAGAATTTTTTTTACCGGCTCGCCGGTATGATAGAGTGCTTTAACGAAATTCTGCGCTCCCCTCTTACATTCCCGCCGATTGCACGACGGCGGCAGCGGCGGGCTGTTATCCGCTTTTATTCTGCGATTATTCTTACGCAGAAAGAGAGAGAGAGAGAGAGAGCGGAGAACCGTACACGTAGACATAGCGTCGCAGACAATAAAGCGCATTATGCGCCTCTCACGAGAATACCTCGCATTCTTTCGGTCTTTCGTCCGACAAAGAAAGCCCGTCCCCTTCCTCTCTTCAGTAGCGAACAGTAACAGCGAAACTTGGCTCGTATGAGAAAAGATGCAAACACAAAAAGCTGGCAGCGGCTGGTTACAAAGTAGTCATCATCAAAATGAAAGAGAATGCAAACAGCCGTTGCAGAATCGTTCGATATCTCATGTAAGCCAGCGTAAATTTTTGCCGCCGGTTGCACGGGAAGTGCAGAGCCGAGTGATTCCGGCTGATTGCACGCGGCGACTAGATACTCAATTGTTAGGAACCACAATTTCCGAAGGCGTAATATCAGTCGTCGCCCGAAATAAGCGTGTTGCACAACGTCGCGAATTGCGCCTGTTTGGATGCCGTAACTAGCCGAAGTGCGAGAGAAGAGCGGAGAGAGAAAGAGGGGGAGAGAAATGCGTATGCACGAATGCAGGTATCATAAACGTTTCTATGGGAAGATTACCCACACCTTGGTTCACCAGCGAGAATTCAATTTCGCGAACAAATAACAAACACTTTGAACAATTTCACGAACAAACAGCAAACATTTTGGAACCATTTCGAACGAACAAATAGCGAGCGTTTTAAGTAAGTATCTATATCCAAGAATACAATAAATGGTAAAAAAAACGAAGGAAGAAATTTACAGTGGCGTAAATTGTTGAATAATTCGCTATCGTAGGGTTTCCCTAATTCCTTCTGATATCCGAGTTCGCGTGTCCTTTTGACCGTCTCTCAAACAGCCGGTTAGTCCCTTTTCTTCGGCCGCGTACAATCCGGATGGAAACACAAACGGCCGCGGCGATTCGATCCTGACGCTCGTTGTGGTCGATGCAACTGTAAGCGCAAATGTACTCAAAGCGACAGATCCGACAGCCAGAAATGAAGCACGCAGCCGGCGCGGATCGATTTGATCGAACGACTTTGACTCGACCGGCGCGGGGCAGCCAGCCGGATGATGCCGAATAAAATGGATAGCGGAAATGGACTATCTTGGTCGGCCTCTGTGCGCGGTGCAGTCGCGGCTCGTTGCACCGCGAACATGATTAACGCGTTAACATCGCACCGCTCATTATAGTTCTGATCATCGCGAATCCATTAACTACGCGTTATTATTTCCTCAGAATTTACCGGAATTGCCAGAACAACCAATACGGCGCACCGACATTCAAATCTCATGGAAACTCGCATTATTTGATGCAAATATTTCACTGATACGATTTTTTCTAGGAATTTCACATTCTGTTATAATTCATTTCTATTTGTAATTATTATATTTATCACTTGAACATTTATAAAAATCTGGAGTTTTAAAATAGACGAGCAATATTATATTTTTTATAATAAATATTACAATTGTAATTTTTAAATTTGTAATTTTTAAATTTGTTGAGGCACGAAGCAGTTACTGTAAGATTATTATTACAATCTGTATTACACAATGAAAATTTCTGGTTTACTTGTTTTAGGTATAAGAACAGGGAAGACGAAAATAATCGTGCAAACGTAGAGACGGAAATTGAAGGCAACGATTTAGCCGAGGTATGTCTATCTGTAGCGGTTTCTAAAGGCGTCTCATTTATTCCTTCGACCTGCTTCTTTATCAGCGACGTCCCAACGCACGTTACCACTGACAAAGAGCCTATGACCTCTTAGTAGGATAACGTCGATTTCGCGAAATTCTTCGGAAAAATCTCCATAATTTCGGAAATTGCCTTTTGATGTTTGAGATGAAAGGTCCGCGATGCCGAATGCTCTGGCCTCCTTACGCGAGTCTTCCACTCACCCTTTTCTTATTCGACACGCCCTTCTCGTCGATCGCACCGCTGCTCCGCAACGTGAACAAAATTGGAGAACTCTGAGGAACACAATGAAGCGAGGGTTCCGTCGAGGATTCCTTCTATCGTTGCATTTCAGGCAAGCCGATAACCTAGTCTCCCGTACTTCCCTCCACCGAGATACATTTTCTATCGGCGAGCCACGTGAAACGACAGTTGAAATCGCGGCACTCGGAGAAGTTTCGCGATCGATTCCCAAGGCAATTCACTAATAGGACGGGGGAGATTTAACGTATTAGTTACTATGTCACCTGTAGCCGCTTCCCTTCGAAGCCGCTATACCGACTTGGAAGCCGTACTCGGTGTTCGCACATTGACAATATATATTGCGAATCATCCTCTTTTCTTTTATATATTTAATACATTTGACATGAATGTGAATTAAATTACCTAACGCTATGTACACATAATCTATTTTCCAAGAAAATCGATTTATCATCGATACATTGAAAACAAGAAAAGAGGTTCCTTTCAAAGCGGCTTTTGTATCGACGAGAAGAATGCCAAAGAGAACGCGGGAGCAGGAGTTACAAGTGGCAACAGTAATAGCCGTGCGTGCGTTCGGCGTTCTGTTTGAGCTCAAAATGGAACGACATAATAACAAAAGGGGGAAACCCGCACAATGTGCGTCTGGGTTTGCCCGGCGAGGAAGGAAGGAAGACTCGCGCATAGTCGCGGAAATACGCGCGCACGCTCGCTCGCGGTGCTCGCTGCAATTCGCGGAGTGTAGGCGAGCGTACCTCGCCAGCGCCGAAGCGTACCCGGAGCTTAATTTCGCCCCGAGCACCGTGCTCGTTCGAGCGTCGCGCCGTGTCGCACCGCGTCGTACCGGCGACTAGCTTGTACGGGACAGTTGAATCGCTTCGGGGGATTCGCCATCTTTTGTCTTAGCACAATGGCGGCCGCGGCACAAAAGTGACTAAGTGCCCGTAATACTCGCCATTATATGCCCCCTAACCCCGCGCGCGCACCCTTTCTGTTTCTCTCAACTTGATCCTCCGCGCGCCCGTCTTTCGCCTTTCCGGGCCCCACCTGGACTCTCTGTACGTATGCATGGACTCCCGGCGCACCTTCGACGAACTTAATGCGAAATGGTATAATATGAGTGGCTGGTGAACACACAGAACACTATGTTGTGCCGGAAACAACGTTGCCGCACCGGTAGATACGTGCGCCGTCGCGTGATTTCACGCGATACGTCTCGCCCCCGTGCTATCGAACACCGCTGGCAGGGATCATTAATTTGTACTACTGGCCCCTCTCAATATCGCATCGGGTTTGCAATATCTACCGACCTTGAAACCTTATAGAGCGTCGGCTTACGTGCAAAATTCGGTGCGCATTTACAAGCCGATTTATTTTCGACTCTAATGCGATCATTTTTTCAACAAATAGAAATATCTTTATGTCTTTTATTATTTTAGCACACTTTAGATCATCTATAATTTGCGACAAAATTTAAAATCGGGGTTACATTTATAATTTTATGGATTCAAATGGAAAAAAGCAGTTAAAAATTCTACATATAATATATATATATATATATATATATATATATATATATATATATATATATATATATATATTATATATATATATATAG